TACTATTTTATTTAACTATATAACTATTGAGGGCAACTATGTGTTTGAGAAAGAATTTAAAACTGTCAATACCCTATAGGAGTTTATCAATAATATACTTAATGCATGAATTACATGTCTTAATTATTTATGTCTATACCTAAAAAGCTAACACCTTGTAAAATAGTTAAAAAGGAAAATGATTCTATCAAAAAAAACAGAGAGAAAAAAAATTGCTGAGTACCCACTCCGCTGATGCCAACTGGGCCCAGTAATCGAGGACCTTCATCACTAATATTGGCCTTAACAACTTAGTAAGTATCAAGAGTGTGCCAATAAAGCTCCTAAAATCTGAGTAACGGGCTCTTACATCACTAATATGAGGTTTCGTGTCAAAAGGACCAAAAGAGTATTTAAGAAGAAAGGCAATTTATGAATAGTTAAGGATGGTGACCTCATTGCACTAACTCAGAAAAAGAAACAGGTAAGGTCTAAGGGTATAGACAAATTTATTTTACAGATAAGTGCTTAATTAGAATTTAATTCACTCCCTATGATAGTACTAGTATAATTATTAGCTTTCTCTCTCACATTGAAGCTCTGTAGATTGGTTATACAGTTAAATTTTACTAGTACTTCGAGTAAAGTTCTTATATTTAATATACTTATTTAAGGAATAAGGCTAAACGCAGAAGTATTTGCTTGAGGACAAGCAACAAGCTAAGTGTGGAGGAATTCGGTAAGTGCATATTTTATAATTAAATATGTATAGATTTTAGTTTGAATTTGATTATATTTATTAATATTTTATATCTATTTAATTTATATTTATATATTTTTTCCTCATTACTTAGTTATAAGATAAAAAGGAATTTTAATACAAAATCCATTCATATCTTTTTATCTTTATATTTTGCAGAGAAAAATAATAAATCAAATAAAAGGAAAGAAGAAAAAGAGAAATATATATATATATATATATATATTAAAGTCTCACGTCGACAAGGAATAAAAGAAGGAGTCTCCACTTTAACTATAAATACTCCTACATCCAGAGAAAAGGCATCGAATCACTTATCTGAGTATCCCAAAAATTCTCTCTTGAAATATTTGGAGCTCGCAGAAACATTCTAAAGACTGAAAGCGAAATCATTAAAAAGTTTCACAAATTATAATTATTTATTTTCTACTCTTTAATTTTCTTTATGATTATTTTTTATGATTGAGGATTATAGAATGATTTTATTTAATTTTATTATGTATTTCTAAATTACTCAATTGGGATAAAGATGTAGCCCAATTAAAAAATTAATTTTTTATTTTCTTTATTTTAACTCTTTATATTTATATTTATAAATATTTTTATTTTTTTGATTATATTTATAAATTTTTTAAAAATATTTTATATTTTTAAATAAGGGAGTAATAAAATATACTCTGATTAAAACAACGTCAATCATTTTGCCGTCAGTGTCCACGGACGCTTCTCGTATTTCCCTCCCTTTCTATATGTAAATTTAAATTTAAATCAAGTCATAAACTTTGTTTGAAAAGAATGCCAAGAGTGGTATGTTTGGCCTGACAAGGAAAGGACGTGGAGAATAAGAGAAAAATGAAACTGGACGGAATGCCGGGCAGGGTCAGTTTCTCTTTATCCGTACTATAGATGGGGATGGGGCCCATTGCTTTTCTGCATAGGTTAGGACAGAGCAACACACGTTAAATTAATATATTGATAGATGACTATTCTTATTTTCACTTTTGTATAATTTTATTTGTTCATGCCATGCTCTAGAAACTATAGTAGTTTGCAGTTGTATACTTTCTCACACTTTTAATTATTTTACATACTTTTAAAAAAATTATATTGTAAAGTCATTTTAAAGAAAATTTCATTATAAATATTAAAAATAAAAAATATATGTATATTTATTACTCCCATCATTTTTAAATGTCAATGTACAAGTAATGCATATCCCTTCTAATCTTATTTATTTTAAAGAGAGAGAAGATTTTTTATTTTTTTTATAAGTCTCATCATTAAATTTTTGGAATAATGAAAATTTTAATTTCTCAAATTTTTTTCAGTTATTGATTTAATCTCTTAATTTTAATCATTATCAATTTGATATCTTATATTCTTAAAATTATCATGTAAGTCTTTTAAATATTAAAATACAATTTAACAGTCAAAATAATCTAGTATGTATATTATGTTGATGATTTTGGCATGTATATTTATTTAAATGAGAAAAAATTAATTCATAAATAAGTTTAATTTTTATCAATATAATCCCTTATAATGTATTTTTTTATTTTTTTAAAATTTCATTGCCTATTTTTCTACCTAAATAATTATACTCTTTTCATTAATTTGTATGGCTATTATCAATATTCTATTATTCAAGTTAGTAAATTTTAATAGTGTGATCTCTTTTTTAAACAATGAGAACAAAATTAATAATCGAAGTAAACTTAAAAGACTAAATTAATAAAAATTAAAATGAAGGAACTGAATTGATAATTGAAACAAACTTGAGAAATTAAAAGTTACATCATCCTTTCAATTTTTTATCACAAATTTCTCATTTTGCCTCCATTAAATGTTAGTTAAAGAAAGTACATTATTAATATATATATATATATATATATTTTTTTGATAAGAACAAATTTAAAAACTTATCAAATTATTAGATATATTTAATTCATTTCAAATTTTTTTCTTGATTTAAAAAAATATGTTGAAATTAACTTATAATTATGATTAGAATCCAATGGATTAGTTGCCAAAATGATGCAGACCAAGGAGCATGTTTATATCTGAAATTTTGTTTTTTGTTCTCTCCAAATCTGCCCCTTGTTAAATTGGAGTATTTTTGAAAAAAGAACTTGAGTTTTGGGAAAAGTACATTAAATATGGATATTTTTGAAAAAGATCTTTTAAAGCATAAAAAAAATTTATAACAATATTAGAGTTAAGAAATGATAGTTAACATTCTTAAATTTATAAAAAATATTATTTGACTTCCTAATTTTGTTACCATTAAAAAGTGACAAGGTATACCTATAAATTACAACTTGATGCAATTAAGGAGTGATAATATTAAAAAATTAACCAGTGCATTTTTATTTTATATTTTAGATCAAACATGGCTTTAAAATTTTATCTTATAACTAGGACAAAAAAAAATACTGTATCATGTAATGTAAAAAAAAGGCAATGCCAATAAAAGTACATACTTCTTCCATTCAAAAATATAAGGTGTTTTTTGAGGAGTTAGATGTTCAACAATATAAGGTATTTTTAATCTTTTGAGGTGTAATCATTGCCTTTTTTTTCAAAAGTCACTATTACAAAAATAATTTTTTATAGCGGTTAAAAATAACTTTTTATAATGGTTAAATAGGCGATATTATTACAGGGGATGTAGAAAGTTAGATTTTCTACATTATTTATAGGACCGCTGTAAAAAATACATATTCTACATCAACCAACCATAATCGATGTAGAAAATGAATCAACGATTGAAAAATTAAAAACTGAAGTACTTTCTACACCGGTCGGAAGTGCAACCGGTGTAGAAAGTTCGAAAGTCAACTTTCTACACCGTTTACTTTTTACACCGGTTTCACTTTCAACCGGTGTAGAAAGTTTGTTATTTTACACCAATTATTATCATAACTGGTGTAAAAATTACTATTCTATACCGGTTATAGTAATAACTGCTATAAAACGTGCATTTTTTTAAATAAATGTTCATATTTTAAAATTTTTCCTACTCTGTATAAAAAAATTACCACAGCCACATCAGACAGCACAATTTATTTATAATTTTTAATATAAAATTAAATTAACAACTATCTAAAACTAAAATTATCTATAAACTATCTAAAAATTATATATTGAGCTATCCAAAACATTGTGTTAACAAATATTTTCAAAAGTTATCTACAACTAATAAACTTTTAAATTGTATGAAACTTTCTACAAAACTCACAAATTTTCCCCCAAAATAAGTTACCTAACGTATGCAAATATCTTCAATTTTAGCTTAGGGGAATGGATCCGAATTGTCAAACATCTAAAATTTAATTTGTAAAAGAGACTTATTATGTGCTCTCAAATAACATAACAAAATAAAACTCTTAAAAATATATATACCTCTTTTGTAAATTCAGTCATACCCAATGTGATAATGTTGAGCATATGTCTCATCACATATAGGCCACACAAATTCGTCTTCATTGGCTGTCTACAGCTCTGTATAAGAATAAATAATAAGAAATCAATAAAAAATCTTAGTAATTGAATATATTCATAAAGTATAGCATTACTTTTGGCTCGATCCATGTAGGATCCTTGAGCTCATGTTCGTGTTTTTGCAAGATCACATTTTAATATGTTTTTATTGCTCTATGTTCGAGATCACAAAGTTAGTAACTAAAATATCTAATGAAAATTATATTAATATTTTTGCACAAATATACGTACAAGTCTATCGTCTTCTTTTAGAAGATTTTAATAGAAAAAATTGATAATTTTAAATCAAATTAATGATCACATGCAACAATCTAAGGCTTTATGAAGCCATTAACAGTACTTCCAATAACAATCAATATTAATAACAATTAAATTTAAATAATTTAGGGAAAAGAATAAATTTTAAAAAATTTCTACAGAACCTCCCCTAAAAATTGGACCTCCCAAGACTTTTAAAAGATTTTCATAAAGAAAATTGATAATTTTAAACTAAATTAATGATCACATGCAACAACTTAAGGCTTTATGAAGCCATTAACAGCAATCTCAACAATAATCAATATCATTATCATCATATATACACACACACATATCAGCCTCATAAATTAAAAAATTAATAAAAAATACAATCAAATAAAAAATTATCTTTATAAAAATTAAGAGCCATACCTACTTAATTAAGAGTGGCGACAACAACAAGAGGAGGAGCAAGCCACGGGAGGAGGAGGAGGAAGAGGCAGGAGGAGGGAATGCGAAGGAAATGGTGGCAAAAAGGGGAAGGGGTGGAGTCGCAGGGGGAGGTGGAGGGGGCGCGAGGAAGGGGAAGGGGAGGGGGAAGGGCGGGATAGGGAAGGCAGGGGGGTGCGGAGGTGGGGGGGGCAAGGGGAAGGGGAGGGGGCCAAGGGGATGGGGGATGGGGCAGGGGGCGGGGGCGAAGGGCGGGGGGGGACAACAAGGGGCTGAGGCAGTGCGAGATGGGGGAAAGATAAAAAGGGAGGGGGCTCGAAAAAGGAAGAGGAGGGACAGGGGGCGAGGGCGTGAGCGGATTCCGAGGAGGCAGGGGGGAGGTAGCGAGATCAAAAAGAGAAATCAAAAAGAGAGTGGGAGGCAAAGAAGGAGAGTGGGAAGAAAAAGAGAAAGAAGAAGAGAAAATGAAGGGAGAGAAAAAGGGAAATTTAAATTACTTTCTACAACAGGTGACCAAGAACCTGCTGTAGAAAGTTTCTACAGTGGGTTCTTGGTCACCCGCTGTAGAAAGTCGAGTTTCTATAACGGGTGAGTATCACCCGGTGTAGAAAGCTTGACTTCCTACAGTGGGCGTTTAGTCACCCGCTGTAGAAATCCTTTTTTTACAGCGGTTCGCTTTTCACCCGTTGTAAAAACTATAATATGCGTTGCCATTATTAGAAAAATGCTACCGCCTTAACTTTCTACAGCGTTTGCTCTCCAACCGATGTAGAAAGTACCCCTTAAATTTCACATTTTGTAGTAGTGAGTGTCCCAATTGATAATTACTTTATATTTATTGTAGGGTAATTAATAAAAATAAATATGAAAAGATAGAGTTAGCTGAAAAGTAAGTAATTATTTTATTGAGAATGAGGTTCACTTAAAAATATCTTATATTTTTAAACGAAAGGAGTATGATATTTAGAAATGAGAGGATCTATTATCTTTGCTCTCATTTTTCTCTTACCTTTGTCATAATTAACAATGTTTGCGTTTTAATAATTTTCCTTACAATGTCCCACCTTATTTCTCACCTTCGTTTTTACTTATAAACATTAAACTAAAAGCCTCATCACACATGGGTTGAAAAGAAAAACAAGAGAGGCAAGTTTGGCCTGATTGTAAAAGACGATTGAAAATGGGAGAAAATGAATGGGGATGGAAACCAGGGAAGGTTCAGTTTCTCGACAACATGGATGCCAACGCAACGAGGCGCTCGCTTTTACAAAGTATATTAACTTTAATTTATTTTTATAGTATATTATTGTCACTTTTATTATTTTTACTAGAATTAAGGGAAGGCATAACATTCATTAATTTTATATAAAATTTAACTCATCAAGTGAGAAGCTAGAAACCTAAGTTTCATAAACATAAATCAACATTGAATAACAATATTTTATATGGGGAAAATGTAGTAAATATTTTGTATGATGTGTTATGAAAAGGACCAAAGAAAAAAAAACTCAACCTATAAGTAGAGTCAAGAATAAAGGTTGGACCTGGAATGCCGTCCATTTAAACTCATTTTTATAAGGGTTTGAGTTTAAAAAAAAACATCTTTTAAGAAAATCAGGTTCTTAAGTCAGGCCTTGATAGGCTTTGAAAAAATGAACTCGAGCTAGGATGGCCTTTTAAGTCTTTTTTGTTTTTTCATTAAAAAATATTTTTAATTTTAAAATTAAATTTAAAATTTAGAATATATGTTTATACTTTAAAATTAGAATTTCTATTATTTATTTTAAATTTTTAAACATTATAATTTATATTTTTTAAAAGCATATGAAATATTTATGTTGGTTTGAGTAATAAGGGTTTTCACTTTTCATCATTTAATTAAGTACTTCCTCCAATCCTATAAGCAGAGTGATTTTTTTTTATCATATTTATAAAGCATGTCATCATTTAATTAAGTGCCTTATTGAAATATGTATATTAAATAGGAGCAAATTAAAAATTTATTAAATAAACATCAAGATATTCTTTAATTTCAATAAAATTGTTAGAAATCACTTATAAGTATAGCATCGTAATTGTTTGTAGTTTGATTTACATTCCTCATTTTGCCTCAAATTGAACTGCAAGGATTTACTAATTAGAAAAATAGTCTGCACTATTTTTTTTAAAAAAACTACTATTAATTAGAGCCAATAATTTTGGTTAAGTTTGAAAAAAATCAAAGTCAAGTTTAATTATATAAATTTAAAAAAAATAAAATAATTTAGGTTTGACTTTAATAAGTCTGGTTATCAAAATTATCAACTCTCTCTGTGTATATAAAGTTAATAATTCAAGTTAAGTCTAATGAGTTAATCTAAACTCATTTAAAAAGATATAATATTTTAAATTTGATTTGAATAGATCCAACTTAAATTAAACCTAATTTAAATAAATTTGATTTGTCTGAATTACGAGTTCTATTATCGACGAGTATGTATAGGCCTTGTGTTTCAATAGGAAAACAAAAAAGAAACAATGGTGTTGGCCGTGGCCCGTGGACAAGGAATATTTTCTTTCTTCCGGCATCTTGTGTAGCACATAAAACATAAAAGTATCCGTCAACGTCAGAGATTACACGAGGCGTGCCGTGATCCAATGGGATATCAGCTCACAGATTCCGCATAGAATAATGTCTCACTGTAAATTGACAAAAATATCCACGGCATTATCCCCCTCTCTTCCTCTCTCTCTCTCTCTCTATTTTGTCGGCCGTGACCCCCAACTCTCTATATATATTTAAAAAAAATATTTGCGTACATAGAATATATTTTAAATTCTTGTCGGATCAGAACAGTTAGATTTCAAAAACAAAAAAAAAAAAAATTAGATTAATGACATTTAGTCTTGGGCGTCCTAAGTTAGAGCATATGGGAGCAATTGTCCCACAAGGCTAGAAAAAATAATATATAATAATTCTAAATATTTTAACTGTCTCTCCCACAAAATTTCAATTGCCCCCTCTGATAAAGAAAAGAAATTTATTTCCTTAAAAATTTTTATTTACCTCAAATCTTATGTATATGTTATAATCTTAAATTAATGGATGGGGTAATAATTTAAACAATGAATATTTAAATTTTAAATATTTTAAAAATAACTAGTATTTATTATGGAAAAGTTTTTGCCCCGCTACCTAATTTTTTAGGTCTGTCACTGCATTTAGCCAATGATAAAATTTTCTTAAAAATAATTATAAATATCGATTCAATTGAATGCAAATTTAGAAGTTTTGATAGCATATAAAATATTTAAATTTTAAATGTAACTATCAAATTGTATTTAAGATTTTTGTTTGTCATTTGTTTTTTTAACATGTTGGAAATCTAATTATTATTAATTTTATATTTTAATTTTAACATATATTTGTAACAATTTAGTTGAAAGATATCGATTCAACGCTTTCAAAATTTTGGGGGGATATTTTCTGTTGTCTGTGGACTCTTCACTCCTTATACTTTAAAAGAGATAAAAATAAGTTTATTGACCCCTACATTATATATTTAAAAGTGTTTGGAACTTTCAACTTATTTTTTTTATAATATTCCTCATCAATAGTGCAATTTAAGTTTAACTTTAATTATTAATAAAAGTTAGCTTTAACTGTTGGTTGACTAAAAAATAACAATAAAGGATATCAAAAATTACAAAAAAATGTCACACTAAATTTTTTTGGGTTTTGTTTGTAATTTTTAAATTTTTTACTATAATTATTTTCATTTTCTATAATTTTTGACGTCACGTTTTATAATTTTTTGATCAACTAATAGTTGAAATTAATTTTTATTAACGGCAATGGCTATATTGCATCACTTTATAAGTTGAAAGAGAATATTATATAAAAAATAAGTTTAGAATTTCAGAACTCCTAAATTTATACTTTCGAGGCCAATTTGCTTAATAAAAAAAAAAGTACTGACTCAAAAGGAATTCTTCAAATACAAGATGAGGACAATTATAAAGAGAGACTCGAACTCAACATTAATTAAAATAAAAAATAATTTACATAGTAACATCCACACTGAAATGTTATAAGACTTTTAATGTTAAGGATGTTACCACATATACATAGCTTTGTCCTTATCGACATATTATACGAGGTATATAAAAATGGTATTATTATTTACTTCATAAAAAATTATATTATTTATAAATCATGCACACAGCATAACTCATCAAATCATATAGGAGGCCATGGGCTCATATCTCTAAATAATCTCAAAAACACTTTTATGAATGCTGCATATAAAAATGCTATTACTATGTATTGTCTTGAATATAAAGGAAATTTAAAATATTTATTTTAGTCCAAATTATAAGAAATTAAACAAAGAACTTATATGTGACATGCATTAGTTACATTACACATACCTTTCATTATGGGAATGAGAGTAGTAATAAAAAATATTAAATACATAAGTTCAAATATTAAATTAAGGTAGAGTTTTGATTGATGGAATTGAATTTAAATATTATATTTAAAATCTTTGGCAAAAAAATCTCATATTTTAAATTTTACGTCTAAATTTGATATATTTAAAATTTTCTGTTTAAATATAATGTAAAATTTTTTAAAGGTACAAGAAATATGAACTAAAATTCAAGGGAAAAACAAAGAGGTTATTGAAAGCAACAAGTTTGTTTTTATTTTTCAATCGGTAAAACATGAAGATGTCAGCTAAGAAAAGAAGTAAAAGTAACATAAACACCAATAATAAAAACATAAAGAAAATGAAAGTTGAAATAGTTAAAATTTTAAATAATTAAGATTTAGAGAAAATTTAAAATTACAAAAAATTATGATAGAACATGAATTTAGAGTTGGATCAAATTCAAGCCCATAAAAATTTATGCACCTAAAGTATAGTAAGAGATTTCATTTAAATTCAAATCTAAATTTTCATATATCTAGACACAATATAAAGGTAATTTCAGAAAAGTAGTTCTGAAAAATAGTGTCGCCCAATGTTAGATTCTATATAATGCATGATTCATTTTTTTCCCCCTAAAGGAAAGCAATATATATTACAGGGTTAAAATACATTTTTATTTTTTATATTGTTTTTAAAAGAGTGCTAGGTACTTTACATTGATGGATAAGATATTTTTTCTTTAACTTATTTTTCAAATGAGCAAAAGTCCCCCTTCAAGCAAAAATAAAATTTAATAAATATTATTAAAATATTTAACATTTATTAAAAATTATTTTTAACAAAACTTCAGAAAAAAAGTTTAGGAATTAATTAGTATCAAAAGACATGCTACATTAGCAAAAAACAAAAGAGTTAAATAGATCATTAACAGAGAGAGATTTTCACTACTCTAAAAAATGGTTTAGGAAAAAATATACCATACCTATTAGTAGTGTGCCAAATGCTCCTCTAAACACAGTACATAACCCTATATTATAATGCATAATACTTGAGAAGACATGGTACAGTATTTATTAGTTATAAACAATGTGATTCTTTAAACTCTCGTATATAATAGTACGTACCGAACACGTTGTATAAATAATTTTCATGATTTCAACATGATTTAACAATGTCTCCA